ACTTGAGCTCACTTGGTATGGAGTGAGCTGGTTTCCTGATTAGGAAGTGGCTCACTTGGGCTCACTCGCTGTCGCGTGAGCTATCCTATGATTGGTCCTTCGGCCCATCATAGTTCCGTGGTGCCTACCCTGTAGGCCTGCTGTTGCGACCATAAATGTGTTGGCTCGTAACACGGTACTCCCCTCCCGTTGGTCTTGTCCTCAAGGCCTAAGCTGCTACCTACATAAGCGTCGCAGCCCCCTTGTTGTTTTGGGTGAGTACTTTCTTCCTTCAATCGCCGTCATGTCTAACCGCGTAGAAAAGCCCAAATCTAAGTCTACGGAGAAACGTCATTCTCGTGCGGCTTTTATTCGTTCTTTTGGCTTCGAGGTGTCGCCGTGTTTCCGTTGTTTAGGCAAACGGCCTTGTCTGGCTGTTGAGGGTGGCGACTCGTGCGCGCATTGTTGCTATCTAGGTCGTTCGTGTGATAGCTCTTTTGTCCCCATGTCTTCTCGTGAGTGTAGTTCCTGTTTCCTTGGTTTTGTCGTGCTGACGTTCCTAGTTGACCGTATTACGGAGGAACTTAAGCGTTTGGAGCGTCAGGAGGAGCTTGCCGAGGAGGCATTAATCGCTCAACAGAAGCGTCATGAAGAACTTCTGGCTCAGCAGAAGGCTGAGCGTGACGAGGCTTTGGCTCGCCTCATGAGATTGCGGAAGCTTCGTCGCTTGCTTCGCGCCCGTGGTGTGGAGATGGTGAATCGTGGATTAAACGCCGAGGAGATGGAGGAGGCTGATCGTCGTGAGGAGGAAGAGCGTCAGGCTGAACTGGCTCGTGTGTCGCGTGAAGAGGCGCAGCTTCTTCGCGACGTGCAGTCTATGAGCGGGGTTGAGTGGTCTTCTTTAAACGCCGATTTGGCGTTCGCAGGTCTAGATCCTCTTGCCTCAATGGGGGGTGCTTCCTCGTCGTCTTCCTAGGTTTCGCAGGGCGTTCTGGTTCTTCCGGTATTTTCTCTTGTCGTACTCGCAAGTGTTTGCGGAGTTTGTTTTGGAAATTTTTCAAGGCAGTGCTGGCGTTTTCGAAATTGCTTTCTGGTTCCCAGCTGTCTGCGTTCCTGTCATATCCTTTCCATTCCACTAGGTATCGGAGTTCACCGGTTGCTTCGTCTATCTTTAGCGATGTTATTTTGTCAACTTCGTATTCAAGTTCTTCGCCTTGAATAACGATTTCATCCATGATGAGTTCTCCAGTGTCTTCATCTATTAATGCTTTTTCCAATAGTGAGACATGAAAGATCGGGTGTACTGGTTTTCCTCGTTTGTTTGGTTGTTCTGGGAGGTCCAGTTCGTAGTTGACTTCGCCGATTTTCTTCAAAATTTTGTAAGGCCCAACTTTCTTGTAGTCTAGCTTGTCGCTTGGCCTGTTTGTTTTGATGTTGGCTTGTTTTTCTCCTCGAGTGTGTCGTAACAGGCTGATCCCTTATAAATAGCTGGTTCCGTTACAGTAATTGCTACAATTGCGATTATTGGCCTAATCTTTTGCCCTGTTTGGCTCAACGGTTTGATGGAATCGTCACAGGTTATAATATAATACTGTTACGTTCCGTTATACCGTAGCGCCAAACAGGGCAAAAGATTAGGCCAATAATCGCAATTGTAGCAATTACTGTAACGGAACCAGCTATTTATAA